GCCTTGGGACTTGGTCCAGGTATTTGGGCATTCAGTGAAACTCAGTTGTCCACTTTCACTCAGCCGATTTGCACCAAGAACTTCCGAAGGCTAGCCCGTGCAGCGGGCCGTGCTCCGACTGTCCTCCATGGAGCCGCAGCGCCAGTTCGTCCCTCTTCCTCTTGGGCGGGGGCCTGGTGTGGTGTCTCCGTCCTCAGTGATCCTCCAGCTCAACGACTTCAGCTTTCTTGTCCCAGTGAGGAGTACAATTGTGGCCGATTACAAGCTACCCGTCATGTGCTCCCAGGGCTGGTGGTGACAGTTGGCAACGTCTACTGCTACCCACGAGGGCCGACATGGCCAAACTCCAAGCAGCTGAACAATCAACTTCTTCATGTGCTCAGTGGTGAAATTGTTTTTGGCTGCTCCGGCCCAAGGGTCATTCTGGGTGACATGAACTCGGACTGCATGGATCAAGAAGTTTTCGACATCTGGCAACGGCTGGGATGGCAAAACTTGCAGCAGTTTGCTCATGATCATTGGGGTTGGACCATTCAACCAACCTCTAAGCACTCAGCAGTCAGCGACCACATATGGATGAGTCCGGAATTCATCGAGCTTGCGAGGGACATTGGTCTTCGAGATGTTTTTCCTGACCACGCCTCACTTCATGTTGACATAGAGGTCCCTGCTTTGTTGGCTTCATGTCGTTTTTGGCATCGCCCTTCAGCTATTCCTTGGGACTCAGTTGATGACACCTGGACTTCAGCACCCAGTGAGCATCTCTTTGCCTCAGACAATCCTACTGCCGACTATGCAGCTTTTGGTGCAGCTCTTGAGGCTAGTCTCGATGGCCATATCATCGGACAACCGGACCGAAGACTTCAATCCAATCAACGTGGCCGGTGTCAACAAGTGACTCCGCATCTTCGACCTCCAATAGCCAGAACATGTGCTCCAAGTAGACGTTCTGAAGTTCAACTCCGATCAGATCAGGTGGGCAGTGCAGTGCAGAACTGGTTTAAGCAGCTCCGGAGGTTGCAGAGCTATGCGCATGCAGCTAAAGCCAATCGGCAGGATCCGACCGCCCTGACAGCTCGGCTGGAGCTCTGGATGTCCATTCGTAAAGCTCGGGGCTTTCGACATGGATTTAGTCGCTGGTGGGAGACCTATAGTTTCAGGCACACAGGAGCTGCACCCTCAAGAGTGCCACAAGCACCACCTAATTTTGCCATTGCTGACAACATGTACCACGTCTTTTTGGAGGCCTTCCGCTCTTTTGAGCATTGGCATCTCTCGCAGAAGCGGCGACTTTTTGCCCCCCGCTATGACCGCACACTTCTCGCACTCCATCAAGATCTCAAGCCAGCCCCTCCTGAACGCATCACTCTGTTCTGGGATGATCTGGAATACGAAATACTTGACATTGATCCATTGTCATCTCAGGTTATGCTGGATAAGGACATTGCTTTGGGAACCTCCACTTGGTCTCTAGATGGACAAGAGCTTCTTGTCTCTGGCATTGACCAGAATGTGTGTGAAATAGCCTCTCCTGAAGCACGTCAAATCGGGGCTCAGCTGATCCAACGCCGTTTTCTCCACAAGGCAGATCAGATCCATGAATCTCTTCTTCAATTTTGGAAAGCCCGTTGGTGTGCATTTTCAGATGTTCCTGCAGACTGTTGGGAGCGTGTTACCAGATTCATTCAGGCCTTCGTTCCGAAGCTGCGACTGACACTACCACCCATCACAGTTGCTCAATGGAAAGCAGGGCTTCGACGCTTTAAGCCCCATGCAGCTAAAGGAGTTGATGGCCTTGGTCATGTCGACCTCCTTCACCTTCCGGATCATTGGCATGGTACACTGGTGCAGTGGCTCAACCGTCTTGAAGACCAACAACTTGGCTGGCCGGAACAGATGCTACATGGCATTGTGCTTTGTCTGGCCAAGGAAGCAGGTGCACATGACCCTAATGGATTCAGACCAATTGTGATCTTCAGCCAGGTCTACCGCACATGGGGTTCCATCCGATCTCGTCAACTCCTGAAGCTCTTGACCGCCCATGCCCCAGACTCCATGTTTGGCTTCATGCCCACCAAAGAGGCTACGCAGCTTTGGTGGACCTTGCAGAGTCATATAGAGCTTGCTCTCCATGACCAACGTCCTCTTGTTGGGCTCAGCACTGACCTCATCAAAGCCTTCAACCGGATCCCTCGCCAACATACCTTCCTTCTGGCTGACCATCTGGGAGCTCCACAGCAGGTCACAGGACTTTGGAAGGATTTCCTCTCTCGCTGCACACGTGCTTTTTTGGTACATGACCAGTTGAGCGAAGCCACAACTACCTTGGTTGGACTACCGGAAGGAGATGCCATGTCAGTTTACGGCATGGTCCAGCTGAACTATGCTTGGCACATATACATGAGGTTCTTCCGTCCAAATGTCCACTCATTTAGCTTCGTTGACAATCTTTCTTTGATGGGCTCAACAGTTGAAGATGTAGTGGGAGCACACTTTGCCAACGAGGCCTTCCTCGCCATGTGGTTGATGGAAGCTGATCCCAACAAAACCTTCACATGGGCTCTCCACACAGCGGATCGGCATACTCTACGCACTCTTGGATTGGCCTGTAATTTTGCAGCAAGGGACTTGGGCGGCAGTATGACTTTTTGCAATATGCTGCGGAATCACCACTTGCGTCTTCGGTTTGAATCATTGGAAGCTAAATGGGGAAGACTTACAGCATCCCGTGCACCAGTTGCTCAGAAGATCTCCATTCTTCCTTTGTCTTTCTGGCCTCAAGCACTGTATGGAGCTGAAGCATGTCTTTTTGCGGACAGTCACCTTGGACATCTCCGTACTATGGCCTGCAAATGCTTGAAGCAGAAGACTGCTGGCGTGAACACGGCACTGCGGCTCACCCTGTCGCACCAGCCTCTTGCTGACCCTGGATTCTATCAGGTGATACGGACCTTCCAAACATTTCGACGTCTTGTGTCAAAAGACTCCAACATAAAGCCAGCTTGGCAACACTTTGAATTCACTTTTGCAGGCAAGCTTTGCCCGGGGCCCTTTTCAAAGCTTCATGTACTTTGTGAATCCTTGGGTTGGAGTCTGGCTCCTCCATATGTCACCACAACTTTCGGACTCACCTTTGACGTCCTTTTGGTTGACTGGTCACAACTTTCCATGCTTCTTCTGGACGCTTGGTTGCAACATTTAGCTCCGTCCCTGCAGCGTCGGAAATCTATGACAGATCTCCATGATTTGGACCCCTTCCTGATGTATGAGCAGGGCAAGACCCTGGAGTCAGGTGACCGTGGACTGCTACATGCCTTGCATTCAGGGGCGTTCATCGCCAACGACATGAAGGCCAAATTTGATGTCTCAAAGTCGGGTTGTCCCCATTGTGGAGTTCCTGATTCGGTCACACACTGGTTGGACTGCCCACTCAAAGCTCAACTTCGGGAATCAATTCCGGATTGGCCACAGGACATCAATGCCTGGCCTCGCGCTTTCCAGCAACACCTCCTGTGTCCACGGAATCCGTGGCTTTCCGAATGGTGGCTGGCCTTGGCGGCCTTGCCAGATGACATCAGCTCGTTTGAATGTGTGGAAGCCTTGTCACCGCATCATTTGTTCACAGATGGCTCATGTCACAAAGGGCCCGTCAGTGCCTTCAACATGTGTTCCTGGAGCGTTACCAGTGCTACCGCTGGCAAGGTCTTAAGCTCAGGCTGGCTCCGTGGGCTCTCTCAGACGATCCCGCGGGCGGAGGCAACGGCGGTTCTTTCAGCGCTCCACTGGCTTAGTCGGGTTCGAGTTCAGGCTTTTTTGTGGGTGGACTCCAAACACACAGTTGATGGAGTACACCACCTTTTGGCCTCCATGTCAGTACCAACTCATTGGAGCAACCAAGATGTTTGGCTTCGCATCCGTGATTTGCTGCATGATTTACATGATTGCATGCCGATATTTCATTGGTGGCCCTCCCACCTTACGGACTTAAGCTGTGAAGACGGCTTTCACGACTGGGTTAAGAGATGGAACTCTGCAGTCGATGTCCAGGCAGGATTCACCAATCGAACACTGCCGCATTCGCTGGCGGAGCTTCGGACGAAAGCAATTGGCTATCATGAAAACATGCTGAAGCGCACAGCTGTTCTCTTCAGGTTTTTCAAGGCTGTCTTCGTGCAGGACCAGGAAGCCGCTGCGGCTGCTGCTGCGCCTGCCTCTCAGGGACACCTTGACCTGACCACTACCCGTGAGAGACGACCTTTTTTAGTTTCCTGTACAGAGCGATTGCCAATCAACTGGGATACCACCTTTTTTGTACACAACCACCCTGGTGGTACTGAGTTCATTCGCGAGATCATAAGCAGATTGTTTGTTTGTGGTGTTGGTGATTCTGGCTTATACGCCATCAGCTGGTTTGAGATGGTTTTCCTCCTTGTTCGGGAGCTGGGCCTTCCTCTCCCCATGTTTATGAGCTCGAGCAATAGGTTTGAACTCCTCCCGGTAGATCGTCATTTTACACGACCTTTGATGACCAGTGCCCTACGCCCGGTCAGGAAATCTTTGCAGGTCTTTTGCCGCCATTTTGGTTTTGAAGATCTTTTGTTTGAAGGGATGGATCGCTCTTCTTTGGGTATTTTCAATCCGGTTGGTGGCTTTTGTCTTTCGATTTCCCTTGAAACACTTGATCGAGTAGCATCTTTGGTTCGCGACTGGACGAGTTCGCGACCTATCCGGCGGGCATGCGATGTTGCCCGGCCTTTCTAGCCGACTGCGTCTCACGAGCTCGCTCTGTGACCACAGCGCTGCCACTTGTGCCGCGCTTGGACCGCTTGAAGTCGGCGATATAAGTTGTAATAAATAAAATATAAGAGACTGATCCAAATGCCGCGCAAGGGCTTTTATTCGGCCAGGATGCTGTTCTGTTCGACTGACCCCCTTTGTTTGGCGCAGCCCATCAGCTTTCCTCACCCACCAGCGACACAGTTCGAATGTAGCCAAGGCGCAGTAATAAGACATGGGGAAGACCGGAATATTCATCTGTGACCCCCAAGAGGAGACGTTGATCACTACTCCACGGCCGCGCCGCAAATAGGGCAGCATGCCCACCGTGAGGCCTTCGTCAGAGGTCGATGTGAGGTGGAAGGAAGGCGCGGTTCATGCGGTTGGAGGGGAGTGCAGTTGGATGGCTCAATCGAAAAACATATAAATAAACAGATCCAGGTGGTCCATTGCACCCTGTTTCTCTTACTATTTCTTTATGACAACCCGGGTTGTCCTATTTAGATCTATTTAGAGGAAATTCGCAGCAGGGATGATCCAGGGTCTTCTATGAGATCGGACAAGGACGTCAACAAGGGCTGGAGTTGACTTATGGTTCGGCGCAACCGCTTGGAGGCGGAGTGTCTAGACGTGTCTCTCTACACGGGAGCAGGACAGAAATCCTTCGATTCGAACCAACTGCAACCGATACCCAACCAGGAAGGCGCCAAACCTCTCCAATTGAACTGTTAAGGCGTGCCATAGCCGTCTAGCTAGAATCCTCGAAAAGTATCGAACATGTCAGTAGAAACTGTGTGATCCAACCGTGAGGAAAGTTGTCACAAATTCCCTTTCATGACTCATGACTCTGCAACCAAATGGCCCCTGCCCCGCCCGGGCCCCGCTTGCTGTACAGGATTGCTAGGCCTATGTGGTTGAGACCACCCACACTGGTCTGCTCATTGAGGAAGCGCATTGGCTGATTCCAGATGGGTGTGGAGAAGAAAATCATATCCTCAGATGTCTTTGCAGGAGCCTACCAGACCAACCATATAGCTCATCTTGCACATGGGCAAACGAAGACGAAGAAGCTGCCACTGGGTCATTCAATCTTTGGATGTGGGTCAAACACCTGGTTATGCAGAGGTCATCGAGGGGAAATCCAAGCCTCATTGGGAGATAAACGAGATCCGTTTCTTTTCGTTTCCAAGTGACTCAAGGGCCCAGGTTTGAGCCCAGTTCGCGATACGTGTCATGCCCTGGCAGCTGTACAAGCTCAGAACAATTGGATAAAAATCACACACGCATCTTAGGAACTTTGGGATCTAGTCAATCTAGTCTTGACACCCTCCCATATCTTCCCATACGCGGCAACATCAAGAATGGCTTGGCTAGATCAAAGTAGTCTTTGCAGTAGTTCGCTGTCGCAGGGGCCAGTTTCGCAGATGTCATACAACCCCCCCCAAAAAAAACACACCTCTTCTTCCAAATCACTTCAAGATCCTCCAATAGAAGCCACAGAAAACGGCCCAAACTCGCTCCTGACCGTTGCGTCTCCGTCGTCTCCGTTCGGTCGTCTCCGTCGTATCCTGGTCACATCCTGTGACTGCCGTCCTTGCAGGAGCCAAGTCTCGGGTTTCGGAATATAGAAGGCCTCAGGGCGTCGTCTCAGACGTGACGAGACCGATGGGACCGATGGGACGATGGTATGAAACCATGTTCACCGGACCTGGAGGACCTGGAGGTGAAGAAAAGAAGCGAGTAGTCATTGACACATCTGCTTCACCCATCTGTTCAACTATACGAGTAGTCATGCAGGGAGACAGGTCAGAGACACCAGATTCCAGTTGTTCTTTTGTTTTTCTTTCAGGGCTCCCGGCGCTATTGACGCAAATGTCCAGCCGGCCATGAGTTTCCGCGATCATCTTCACCATGGCCATATTCTGCTCATCCTGAGCAGTCATGGAGATTGTGCCAATCTTCACTTGAAGCTCCGACGACCTGGACATTCTATTTACCCGATGTGTTCACATTGATGTATCATCGGACTCATGTGCCCAAGTCTGAGAGGCACGAAACATCAGTATTGTCTCTGAGGTCATGGAAAACGAAATGGAAAACGAAACAGAATGATTATGCCGCCACCCATTTGACTGTCATCACTGAGACCTGCAACCGGCACATGCTCACACCATGAGATGCTGTCGAGTATACGCTATACATCTCCTCAGCTTCGCCCGTGTACTGTCTACATCTGTCTACCTCCGCAGAACCAAACCCTGAGAGTCCAGTCATGACTCATTTTACCCAGTCATGGTAGTGGATGGGGTAGTTCATTTTCGTCAAGTCACAGAAGTTCTGGGAAACACAAACAGCTTTAAATCCTGAAAGATCACTAGGTGCAAGGACCCTACTAGGGGCTCCTGCCATCGCTACTAGGAGCAAGGACGCTACTAGGGTCCGACATGAAGTTGCCCGTGCTGGAAGCCGTGCGAAGAACATGAAGGGATTGAGGATTTATCGGTCGGGGAGAACAGATACCAAAGATCCTGCATCCGAAGGATCTTCTCCCCCAGTCGCCAACCCTGGAAATTCAACTTTCGCACATCTGGACTCTCGTTCTGCCGGTACCACCTCCGATCGGTCTTCGGCGTGGACGGACGCCTGGCCCGCGCGCGCCTGGGCGTGGTCGACATGGACCGCGACACCCGTGCCGCCCAGCTTGCCGAAGGTGGAGGCGGTCTCATCCACGGTGCCCATCAAAATGATGTCCGTCTCCTCGTGTCGACGTGAGTCATCCGTGGATCCCGATTACACTCGTGGTATCCCCTCAAGAGGCCCTCTATAGCAACCAATCACGGCAGCACTTCAAGGCCATCGAATCGTTTTTTGCCACCATTCGATTCGGGGCCCCCGGTGGGACGGTGTTTCTTCGAGGCGTGACGGACGTCTGCGGCCACGAACGGACGCCGGACGTTGCGCAGGTTTCGACGGTTCCACGTCTTGCAATCCACGCAGGTGAGAGGTCGGTTTTCACTGTTGAGTGCCTCTTGACTGGGAGTTTCTCGCCTAACCCCGCCCGCTCGATCGGACGGAAATGCCATCCCTCCTTCCCAGGTGAAGATCGCCCCGTCACATAGACGATGCCACCAGCCTGGACCGATATCGACCGTCGAAAACGGAGTCGAATGACTTCGATGGAAACATCCAATTCGATGACTTGGGACAAGTCACCAACTCTCAAAAGCCACAACATGAGGCTTCACTTGGGCTTTCAGTCGCTTTCAGTCTTGGATGAGAACTAGCTTGCCCAAAGCGGTGCTTCTTTCGAACAAGGTTGCCAGTCGCTTCGTGTCCCAATTGGCGAAGCACGTCGGGGGGAAAAAAGTTCACAGCCAGTTCCCTCAAAACCATAGGGATTGGTTCGTCGACCCCAGACCCCTCCAGAGGATTTGGGTCCCGGGTCGCGTCTGGGCTCTCCCATTTTCCCATCCTCCCGCCTCAGCCAAGCTGTGGGCGATGCCCTTCCCGATGCCACGACTGGCTCCAGTGACCACACCTACCAGCAAAATCAATGGATGAGTAAGTTCCCCTGGACACTGATTGTGATTCAGTGAGCTTCATCTCTGTGTCCATCCTGTGTCCCAACCATAGACTACACTGACTACAGTGACTAGAGTGGTCCATGCATGCAATCCCGCGCATCTTGCAGTGCAAACAGGCAGGACATCACATAGACTGCATGTTTTTTCAAACTATAACTATTCAGATTTACAATTCAATTGTCTTTCAAATGTGCATACAGGTATACATAAGTACACTTGAATTTGGACGTCATTCCACCCTGCAACCGGGTTCACACATCAAATTCTGCATGGCCAAACGCTCCGTTTCTGTTGTGGCTTCCATAGACTTATAACCCATGAAAGACTTGTGGGTCAACCCACCAATCAGAGGAGACATGAACCCACAACTGGACCTACAGGTCCTGCAGCCCAAGAAGCAAATTAAACCAGAAAGCCGCTTGGTCTCCTCACAGTGACTGAACGGAGGTGTCCGACTGTGCTTCTGGAAGAAGGCTAGCTGCTGTTTTGGGGGCACTGAAGCATGAGGCTGGAGATTGAGACCCGACTTGAAATCAACACGCCCAACACTGCCCAGCACTGCGCACTCCTGTGTGCCGACCATGCGCTGCGCGCCCAGGAAGGGGGCGCTGGGCAAAGTCGATGGTCCCGAGACGCCCGGGACGCAGTGGTCCAAAGGCCGCACGACACCCAAGGGAGGCACTGGGTCCTCCTGGCGAACGGTGGACCAAGAGGGGCCGCTGGGGGTTGCGCTGGGGCAGCATTTCACGAAGGCGGACGTGGCGGACAAGGCTGCACTTTAGAAGATTTTGTCCAAGCTGGCTTTGGTTGGGGAGAGAATTTTGAGAGATGTTGAGAGAGGGATTGGAAGATGTTCAGTCTTTGCTTGAGGGAACTTGACCCTGGTAAAGAGCATTCCAACACTCGCTTTGAGGCAACTCTACAACACAAACAAACACTGCCGGTGATCGAAATACAACGCGTGGCTAAACGTTTTGTGAGATGAAGCGTCTATCGTCCAATAGTTTGTTCAAAGGACACCCCTCCACGCCAACGGCGGTCTTGATTCCGCCCAAATGGCGGCCTTTTCCGTGTTTCAACTCTCGTCCGTCGGTTGGGAGCCTGATGGAAAGTGCTGGAGGGGACTTACATGGGACTCACCAGTATTCGTTGATTCACTCCCCACTTCATGACGGCGTAGCGAGGCGCTACGCGACGCTACCGCGAGGGAGATGAAGGAACCGGAGGATTGAGAAGGATTGGTAGCCCAGACCATCCATGGGACTGACATATTCACCGATCAGTTGGGGTGCTTTGAGGGGTCCATCATGCAGTCTCTGGGAAAGCGTGTTTTGGAATTGTCAAATACCATTTGTGTCAGTGTGTATGACTAGAAGAGGGATATCACAAATGTGCAATCTTTGAATTGACAGGATGACACATGGTTGACCTCCCCAAAAAAGATTGGTTCCTAACAAGATCTGCAATGAGGCCCTGTGTCCGAATGGTTTATGGGCTTCCCATACTCCAAAACATATTAAACACCCGAGTCAAAGACATAATAGAAATAATGGTCTTTATATAGGTGACCCGAGTCAAGGAATTTCCTGAACACTTCAGACTTCAGTCGGTCAAAATATAGTCTTTGGACTTCTAGGGAATATGTATCCCTAGGGATCCAAGTACCTTCTCAGATGTTCGGGGTGGGTGCCAGGAGGGTCCAGTCGTACCTTCGAAGGTACGACTGGATCCCTACGGTATAGTGATCATCAGCGAGTTCCGGTGGTACCCGATCGTTGAGTCCCCACGTCCGGCCGTGCGCCTTGACCGTGGCTTTAGGCCTCAACTCTCCGCAGAGCTGTCGCGCGCGCAGCGCGCAGCTCTTGAGCTCCGCGTGGTGCGCCAAGAGCAACGAAGCCCTGGTACAGGCGGATGGAAGAGTGTCGGAAGGTGAGACGGCTGGGTCAGAGTGGAGGGTTGGGGAGGGTTGGGGTTGAGTGCACAAGGCCCCCTGCTTGAGTTGGAAGAATTCTGGGCCTCACAAGGCCGATTTGCCTTGGATCGTATGGGCCTGTCTGCGCAGAAAGGGCGGTTCCTTTGGGAAATGGTCTGCACGAGCTCGTAGTACATCTTTCAGCGACGAACTGTCTAGGATTGGGCTTTTGCCCGAAACCACTTCGCCCATCGGAAGTGGTCGTCAACGGCCTCGATTCCTGAAAGAAAGTCAATGGCCTCCCCAAGTCCCACAACAGCAGCGAATCAAAGGCCATTGTTTGAGGTTTCCCTTATGATGACCCCCAGTCGTCCCTACCGTGTTCAGTGGATCCTCCGTGGACTCCGTGTTGATCGTAACGGGAGTGAGGGGTCCACCTACCCGTCACCGGTCCAAACGAAGCCGGTCCCGCCTCGCCGATTGCAGCGCCAGAGCCGAATCGCCCTGGCCTGGAAGAGGCGTCGATGTCGGACGTCCAGTGGAATTTCACCGAATTCATCTGTGAGTTGAAGAGAGTCTTGCACCTGTTCAGTCCAAAATAGTCCCACTATGGTCCACAGAGTTCATGCATGAGTTCGATCTTCCAGTCGTTCTATGTCGTTCCTCTTGCCCTTCTCGGGGGCACTTGCTCCTTCATGCTCTCGCGTGCGCCCTTGATGCTCGAGCGTGCGCAGATTCTCCAGCTTTCGCACTCTTCATCTGTTGAACGCTGGGAGCACTGCGGTGATTCACGGGGCGCTTGGTTCGGTCGTAGTGTCCGATCGCCTTTCAAGATAATCTTAGGAATCTGCTACTGTACAAGTGTATACTATAGACTTGGACAGTAGCAGATTCCTAAGAAGCTACAAGTATGTGTAAGTAAGTATATACTGGTCCCCAGTGGGTTGGGAGTTGTGGAACATACCCTGGTCGTTTGGTCGAGCACAACTCATCTGCTAAGTCTTAACCGTTTCCTGGCAACATAAACTTGCATACCTGGGCAAAAGCTGGCACTTTAGTCCCAACTCATGTGAGCATGAACTATAGTAATGGAATGCTGGAGGTGTCGCAGGCATATTGTGGCTTAAATTCTAGGAATTGAAGACATGGGAACTTGGATATGGCAATGTATTAATCTTCAATAAAATGCAAAGTTTTCTTTTTTACCTTCGAAACAATTTTTGTTCCTAACTCATTTGCCAGCGGACATCCACTGTTACCCAGGGGCATGACTTGCATTTGTCATCCATAATATCCTTTCTCATGTGTTTTGTGCATTTTGACTATATTTAATTCCTAACTCATCTGCAACAGCCATTTTTAAAAACTGTAAGTAAAGTCCCAACTCTCATGGGACCAGTATAGCACATTGACCATCATTGACCATTTGCTATTTTGGAAGGGAAGACTCTGCACATATGAGATATATTGAACAAGGGTCAATGGCTGTCCTTTTTTGGTGGCTAGTCTCCAGAGCAAAAGGACATTTAATCAACTTAAAACAACCTAGTCAGCTTGTTTTGACTAAGAAACGAACCTGAAACGAGGACCGTCACAACTGTCCTTATCTCCGGTCCCTTTTTGAGGTGGTCGAACCAGCATGAAACAAACGGGTCAGTGGTGGTCTTGCGAAGCCAGTCTCCTTGTTGTGCTCTCGCAAGCGCAAGCAAAGCCATCGCCTCTCCTGAGACATGGACCCAGCGACTGCGAAGCCAAAAAGCCACGATCTCGATCCAACTTGTTCCATCTTTGATCCCTGTCTTGTGTAAAGCTTGTTTTGGAGTACCAACCCTCCAACATATATGGCCTTCACCGATGGTATCGCCTTCGAATATATCTTTTGTGAAACAGGACTTCGTCGAGACTGACATGGCGTTGTGTTTCCCAGGCTGGTGTCCGCGGGGGTTCCCTTTTGGGCTAGGCCTTCCCAGATTGATCGAGAAGAAGGGGCACTGTTTCATGTCATCTTCGCCCAATTTGGCACTGCCATTGGTGATGTTTCATGTTCCCTCAAATGGTGATGCTTCATGATGCTCTTCACCCTCCGCTTGCATTCCAAAAGGACCGGCCGGTTTCAGACGTGCCTGTCTTGTCACCTGCAGACTTTAAACTGGCCACAGCTTTCTGTGCTGCCTCACGGCACGGCCAACGTGAAGAGACGCAACGACGATCGGCACGACGATCGTGCTGCGACGCACGGTCCGGATTCATCGACTTGCCGCAAGTCGAAGGGCTGCAGATCGAAAGGGTCTGGATTCTTCTTCGCTCATTTACATCTTTCTATATCTATCTCACTATCCAACTGAACAAAAATCACTCAAAGGGCATCCAGTGGTCAAGTGAGATTCGGAGTGAGTGGACCTGTCCCCGAACTTTGTGTACTCCTTTTTTGGCCAATAGACATTCATAGTACCACACCATGCCTCCTTCAACAGCCTTGGGGAGACGTTCTCGACGAAAGCTCCGGCTGCCGGCGCGACGGAACGCGCCTCTGTTGCCTTCGCCCAAGCTTGTTGGAGGCAATACGCCTGCAGGGCGGTTGAAGAGCATGTTCTTGGGAGTCACCGTGTCTTCCCTACAACTGAAACATGAACAGAATTGTTTGCTTTCAAGAAATGCTTAGGGTGTTCACACATCCTTGAACTGCAATGTGATAGTGATGCCGCGCTATCAACCGTGAGCAGATTCATCCAATCATTGCCTTTCAACATCGAGTTCGTCGAACCGTTTTCCGAACCTCGCGAGTCCCTCGCCGTTTGGGAGGCTGGACACGGTCGAATCCCATGGATCTGAGATCATCCCCCGATCGATCGACGGCTTTCACCGTCGGCACGGTGTCGACCACCATGGCTTCTTGACATAGGTCGGGGGGTCCCTGTAGCTTGAAGTGCAAAGTATCAAGAGGCACAAAACATATGAAACACGATCAAACTCACTGATGAACCAATCAAATACTAACACCCCCAACACTAGCACATACTAGCACTAGCAGCCCGAACGCATGATACAAGTATACAACAACCGTTGATGCCGAGGACATGACCTTGGCCATGAGCTCCTGGGACCTCGGACATCTCTTCTCTTTCCTAGTCCTATCCACCCACCCTCCCAAAATCTATCCAAGTACTAGGAGCAAGAAGCTACCGGGGCCTCTTCTGTCAACCGCCCAAACCGCCCTACTTGTAGGGCGCCCTAACTGCCCCTACACCGCCCCAAACCCCGCTCGACCTCGGCTCCACTGCACCTCGGCAGTGAGGGTCTGTGCCTGCGCAGCCTTGGCCGCTTGGCCTTGGCCTTCGAAGGCCTTCTGGGCCTTGAGCGCGCTTTGCACTGCTGCCTGGGGCGCCTGGAAGGGTGGAAGGATGGGGCGGTGGGGCGGTGTGGTGGAGTGCCGTGGGTGAGAAGTGAGAAGTGAAGTGAAGCTATTGCTGCTGCAACCGCAGCTCGGAAGTACTCAATGATGAATCCAATAAAATCAATAAATACCATTAAAACACAAACAAAAAAACGGTGGGTTAACCTGCCCGTGGGACAATGGTAAATCAAAGGAGACCCTCATGCAGCCAAACCGGAGATCTGTCATGCAGCCAAACGGTCCTGTAGCCATAAAGTTCACTTCTGGTTGTTATATAAATGGAAAATCGGTCAGCCAGGCTTCACACCCCTCTCTCTCCTACTCTCTCCTTTCATAGAGGACCATCTCCTCCAATTGGAACATAGAATTGAACATAATTCACCTTTTCAAAAAGTTTCGCACCTGCACTTAAGGAAATCATCTCAGTAGTGACAGGGCTTGGTATACCGTCCCTTAGTGAGGTCGGTAGCGCTACCGACTGCAGTGAGCCTCCATGTGATTTTCTTAAGTGCAGGTGAAAATAATTCAGGGATGCTTAAATCAATTCAAAGACCATGCCCCATTGATTGAGAGCCATGGGCTTACTGAGGTCGGTAGCGCTACCGACCTCCCTAAGGGGGAGGTATGGCGTGTCCTCCCCTTTCTGCGCTGATTTCCTTAAGTGCAGCTGCTTTTGAAAATAAGTATTTCCTACTTCCCAATCAGGGTGACCAGCAAGAAAAAACATGTCATCCTTCGGGGAGTCCAAACAGGGGTCAAAGACTTTATTTTCCAAATGTTCTAGAGAATCATATCCTTGCTTGGATGTGTAGACAGAGATTCAATGTCAGCACTGCTGCTGTAAGTTGTACGGATGGTAAATGGAACTAAAGAGCACATGATCGTTCCATGCCCTTCAGAATCACAACGGGTCCTAAAGACAGAAAGCTGTGACTTCACAGGGTGCCCTATGTTTGGGGGGTTCAAACCAGACATCCCAGCCTTCTCCCCAACTCATAGGGAGATTTAAAAAAACCACACTCTTAAACATCAGGGAAGTGAATTTTTGACTTTGTTAAGTGCAGGGCAAATTATTGATCAAATGATCAAACTGGTACAATTTAGATGGCAATATATTGGCAATGTCCTGTTGCTGGATGGAATGCCCCCTTTCACCCTGATAGTATCTGATAGTTATCTGTGTTATTTTTTTATGCAGGATGATAACTTTTGATCTTTCTACTAGATGATCACTGTTGCATACATGACTAACTCCAATTCAACCCATGCGATCCTTATCATATCTGATTCTCGTCCGATCCTTGATCCTCATCCCTCACAGGTGCTCGCAAGCCCCTCACCAGAATTCTTCGCCTTCTTCGTGAGACTCAACTTGGCCAAGATCAGGCTCGATGGCCCGACGACCTGAACCACGCGCTCGACGGTCCGGAGAGCTGGGGGTTTGCGCGCGCGTCGGGGCCCGGAGTGTGAAACCGCGTTCAGGTGTGTCAATTCAGCGCCGCCAGTGGGTACCATGCGAAAAGGCGTCGGAGGTTCGTCAGAAATTCGTGTTCCGAACGTGGAAACTCTCCGGAAAACAGCGCCACCTTCTCCTGCAGTTCCTTCTTCCCTTCCCGCGCGACCACGCGATCCGCTTCCTCGCGGCACAGATTGGTATGTGAGGTCAAATGGTGGACCCATGTTCTTTGGCAGGAGGCGGTTTACTACCAATAGCCGCACTATGCCGCACTGATAAGAGAGTGCCAAACCCTTTTGGGGTTCAAAGAAGATCAAAGAAGCAAGTACCATGCATATATTGTACTAAATTGGATGCGGCTCAGAAACTAAATGAACTATCCAACGCCTATAGGCCTATAGTACCTATATAGCGTGTAAGAGAGACGTGCCCCGCTGATTGAGATATGTCGACTTTCAAACTGAACGGTGGATGAACGGGATTCAGACTGACCTCGTGCAATGTGCGGCAGGTACGCTCACTCCTTCACCAGCACCATGGCCATCTCTACTTTCCCCAGCTCCAACTGGGAAGCAGCGGCCTCCCAGGCGGAGTGAAGATTTACATTCAGTGGATCTTGGCTTCTCGAAAAGCTTGGCTGATGGTTTTCCCTGGCCTTTTACTGACAAAACTCAAAGCAACATCCAGGTGAATCAAACCAAAGCCCACCAAATCCAACGGGAATCCTTGGGACAAGCAGCGATAGGAACTCCATCCCGGTTCGTTCGGTGCTCACGAGACTCTCACCTTCCAAGTGGATTTCATGTCGAGTCAGCCCATCTCCGCCTTCAAGAGTAGCGCTGCCTCACCCTCAGCCACTCCAATCTCTCGGAAGGTGAGCCTCGGCTGAGAGGGCCAACAGCGTGACTACGCACAAAACCTTCGGCCAAAGCATCTGCGTCATCACAGGCTTTGGTCAACAACCCAGTCTCAATGTGAATCCTTTTTTGCTTCAACCACCCCCCATCGACCGAAAGGCCAAGTCTTCACCGCGAACGCTGGAGCGTGGAGAGAACGCTCCACAAACCGAGAACGCTCCAAACACGACCGATTCGGTCTGATCGATTCCATCCCCAAACACGACCTGGACCCTGTGCCATAGGACTGCATGCCGCCCCAGACAGACCCCCCTGGCACCACCAGGAAGTGGCCATGAAACTCGGGAAACTCGGCAGTCCGACATGGCAGTCCCAGACAGGTCGTGTTTGGGATCTCTACGTCAGGCACTGCACGGCCACTCTCCCACCCACGATTGGTTCTGCCCAGGCACAGCTTCTCACGCAGTGGGCGCAAGGCAGCATCCCGTGAGGCAGACTCCTTGAGAAGTGGTGGAACAGGTGGAAAAGATTGGATTTGTTCTGAGAGATTGTGATTTCAGTGTCTTCGTGATTACCATCCTCATGTACACCATGAGCATTCTGTTACAAGTCAAACTGGAAGTGATCATGGTCCATGCTCCAATCCAATCTAAGGCAAACCAACTCAACCGACTCAGAAATTCCTTGAAGCAAGGATTTTGGGTCACCCGAGGAACTGCCGCTGTGTGAGCTGCGGTCTGGTCATTCTGGTCGGTGTCCTCCGGAGTGAGCTTCATGACATCGGACTTCCCTTGGAAGTTCTTGGTCCTTAACATCGCCCCAAGACCTCAGCAGCGGTGCAAGACCTGGAAACGAAAGGGGGGGCTTTCAATCACATTCTTTATATAGAAGAACCAATGTTACACTGCTACATGGTTTTCACCACATGATACATTATAAAGGCGATATGAAAGTGAACACGCTTTTCACGTCGCCGACATGGGGAGTTTGGGGTCACCATTCCAGGGGCCAATGCAAAGCTCCTCGCTGAACAGCGAAACATATCGGGCAAACCTCGCTGAACGGTGCAGCCAGACCGACCGATGCTTGGATCCCGGTGCGATGAATGGACTGAGCTTCGTCTGAACAAACCTCTCATGAGGTCATATGAGGCTTGGCACAAATTGACAAATGGACTATAGCAAACAAACAAAACGTCAGCCGCGATGGTGGACATTGTTCAGGTCTTCGTACCGTTTTGCTTCTCTCGTAATGGTCGTTCTTGGTTAGTCGGTTAGTCCTTGCAGGAGAGCTATGCGCAGGTATGCCCGTTGTGGGCGAACACGGGGGCTGAACATCGTCTATCAGTGGTGAATATCCCTGCCGGCCGGTGGAACCTCAAAGCACCTCAAGCCTCGTTGCTCGATAGGACCAGGACCAGTGTAGGATTCTGTTGTTGCCTTCACAGATCCTTTCTGATTCAAAGCACATCTCTTTATGAACCAACAAGAGCAAGTCACGTGTTCCAAAAAGAGTGCAAATTGGACTCACCTCATGAATCGGAGGAAGGACACACCCCAGTCCCACCTCTCTCTTCGAACCATCAGATTTGCTTTCTACAGGTCAAGCAATCACACCCAACCAAATCGAGCACATACGACACAAACCACCACACAAACCACCATCAAAACCACCACACAAACCACCACACAAACCACCACACAAACCACCACA